GCATGGCTTTCCATTGCTGATCGTGCTACTATTGCTAACATGTGTCCGGAGTACGGAGCCACTATTGGTTTCTTCCCCGTTGACGGAAGAACTCTTCAGTACGTTTTGACTCGTTCTGTGATCTTTTTCGGAGAGTAGTTTCCTTTTACTTGATCTTCATGTTTTTTTATTTGTAGCATCATTTTGGAAATTTTATCACCTTTTTTTCTTTTGAGAGAAATTCAGAGGTGCTAAATCATTTTTAACGCCACAGGTATCTCAAGCAAACTGGTCGTGATGAAGAGTATTGCCAACGAGTGGAAACTTACTTGAAAGCCAATAGAATGTTTGTTGACTATGGAGATTCTACAATCAAGCCTGCATACACGAAAGTAAGTCTAGTGCTTTTTTGTATACTTCGAATGTCTATAATTTTTTTCTTCTATTTCACAGATTTTGACTCTTGATATGAGTACAATTGTACCTTCCGTAGCCGGTCCTAAGCGACCACACGATCGCATTCCGCTGCCCATGCTGCACAAGGATTTTGGCACTAATCTTACTGCCAAACCTTCTTTTAAAGTATGATAAAAGTCACATATTGTTCCAAAATGCTCTTCTTTTCTTCACCAATCATTCCAGGGCTTTGCTGTGAAAACCGAAGAAGTGCCAAAACATGCTCTTATCAGCAAGGATGGCAGAGAAGGGGATCTCACCCACGGTTCAGTTGTGATTGCTGCTATAACTTCATGCACAAATACCAGTAATCCTAGCGTGATGCTAGCTGCTGGTTTGGTGGCCAAGAAGGTGTTTACTTAGATCAATAAAAAAAATTTTGAGGAGCTTAGATGGCTCATTCTCTTGAAGGCAGCGCATCCAGAATTCATGCATCCTAGATCATTACTTATTTCATAAGCAGAAGTAGGTCAGCGTTTTGTTCCCTAAAGTTGCCTAGAAAAGAAGGGAGCGTGCAAGTCGAAGAATCTCTTTTGCACTCGGCCCCCTCTCTCACGCTCTACTCATCCACAAATTACCCTGTCGCTTTCTGACATGGCAGGCAACGGCGAGACTGCAGTACTGTGCAGCACTGTTCCCCACGATGAGATCTGCTGCATACAGCGTGCGTGGATAATGCGCTCCACGTTAGCAGTCACGCTGCTTTGCCGCGGGTGCCGGAGCACTTGTTCACATCTGCCTAAATAGGGCTTCAAATAGGCAACTTTGGAGCTTTACGTGATTTGCACTGTATAATATTCAAAGCATCAAAAGGTGCGATAACAGTTGAAACATGGAAGTCGAATATTGGGTGGACGCTGCCTTTAACTAGCGCCTACATCTCGCAGCTGCCTTCACTAATAGCAATGATCACTGCTCGAAACTTCCGATAGCATTCATCAAGGGGACTTGGCTGTTGAAATGTCGCATCACCAAATTTGCACTATAACCCCAAGATCTGGGTAATAGTTTTGCGAATGCCGATATACTCGACTTTTGGGTTCGCAAACCCATTGGTTTCGTTCGTGAATGAAGTGGCTTTTTGTGGGTTCGAGAACCCACCACTAGTTTCGTGAATAACGGTCTCGTGGCTTATACCTACCCAGTGGGTTGTGAAATCACCTCGTTGATGTACGGCCACTGGATGGAATACTGAATTCTCTTCTGCATTTTTGTGTAAAATGTGCGGCGGAAAGCCACTTTTTTGCTCGCGCCCCCTAGCGTTTCCTAAATTTTGCGCCAAATCTTCCTTGATTATGTTTCAAATTGAGACATGTTTATTTGAAGTAGCCTATCGTTTCCTGTATGTTTAGGCTGTTGAACTTGGGTTGTCTACACAACCCTTCACCAAAACGTCACTTTCCCCAGGATCGAAAGTTGCTGCAAAGTACCTCGAAGCATCAGGTCTTCTTCCTTATCTACAGAAGCTTGGATTTCACATTGCTGGGTATGGATGTATGACTTGCATTGGAAATTCTGGTCCTCTTGATGAGGACGTGTCCAAATCTATTGAAAAGGTATACATTTTTTGAGGAGATAAATTCACTCATTACACCCATAGCAGAGCTCAGTGTTATAGGAAAATCTTGTTGTGGCTGGCGTTTTGTCTGGAAATCGTAACTTCGAAGGTAGAATTCATCCTCTTGTACGCGCCAATTATCTTGCTAGCCCTCCTCTGGCTGTGGCATATTCGATTATTGGAAATGTTAATAGGGATATCAGTGGAGTGATCGGTGAGAGCGCCTGTTGTTTGCTTTGAAGCCAATACCATATTTTTGCAGCGAAATCACCTGATGGCAAGGATGTGTATTTTAAGGACATCTGGCCAACCAGGCAGGAGATTGCTAAGCTTGAAGAGGAATTTGTCAAGCCACAGTTTTTCAACGAGGTTTCATTGCGGTGTCTCATCACTCGGAATCGCTCATTTCTTGTATTAGGTGTACGCCAATATTGGGAAAGGTTCAGAGCAGTGGCAGCAACTCCAGTGCCCATCAGCAAAGCTCTATCCATGGGATCAGGACAGTACGTACATCAAGAAGGTCCCCTTCTTTGACTTCATGGTGCGTTTTCATCGTTTTTGTTGTCTGTTGAATATTGACATGATTCTTTCTTTCTTAGTGCATTGTGCACTACATTTGTACACAACTAGGCTTCTGTGGTTATAGATGTTCTGTCCTTTACACTCATTGCTTGCTTTAGACTCTGGACCTTCCACAGCGGTCCCCTATTTTGAACGCATATGTCCTGTTAAATCTCGGCGACTCAGTCACTACCGACCACATCTCACCTGCAGGATCTATTGCTAAGGTATCGCAATCCTTGAATGTCTTGAAAGATCGATAGCCTTTGTTCAGAACTCACCAGCAGCTCGTTATCTTGCTCTTCGGGGTTGTTCACCTAGAGACTTCAATACATATGGCGCTCGAAGAGGAAATGATGAAGTGAGTTTTTTTTTCCTTTTTGAGCTTGCTCTTGAACGGGCTTGCGAGACTGAACAACATCACTCACTGAAAGTTGGAGGCGTGATCGCCATCGATGTCCAGTCAAAGTATGCAGCGAAGCTCTTTGGAATACTTTGTGTTGATTCAGGCATTTACCTTAAAAATTATCTACTATCTACGTTGTCACTACATGGATCATAGTCTTCCAAATTTACTTCGACAATTATGTGGGGAAGCCTCTCGTTTCTTCCCTTATTAAGTGAAACTGAAAAAAGAGGGCGGCGCCATTGATGTTCCAGAAAACTTTTATGACTCATCTCGATTTTTAGAGAAGAGTACATCTGTGGAATCATATATAAGAAATATATCATTTATGTGCACAGCGAAACAGGTTTTGGATAAGATCAAACATCTTATTATTTGTGAATATTGGATCAATATTGATTAAAAAACTCAGTTGAAACTATGCTGGCGTTTCTGAGGAAACCTTTTCGTTGGATATCTGGGTAGCAATGACGAGAGATTTTCGACTGGCTGACGCCACACCTGCTGGACTTGCATTTATTTTGGCCAGATTTTCAGCAGAAGCCGTAAAAGGCACCGTCCACCCTAAGTTGGGGGTAGTGAGCTTTT